TTCTGGTTTTCCCTGAAGAGATACATGGGAGAGTTGTGAATGTAGAGGGTGTTGTGAGTCAGATAAAATGGATTTCGCCCATTTTTCACATGAGTCCATGTGCCTGTCCACCAGAATATTAACAAGCTGGCTAAGTGGCAAACTGCTTACCCTGCTGACAACCTTTAACATCCTACGTAATAAGGTGTAGTCTTTCTTCAATAGCCCATGAAAGACTAAGGGGAACAATAGAGAATAATGGGTAGAGTAGGGAAGTTAACAAATTGTAGGAGTAAGGGTTGGGTTACACCAGAATGTCTTAACTTCTTGATGTAGAAGGTAAGACGGAATATTTTCTTAGAAATCGTCAAGATATGAGACGACCAGGAAAGATCAGAAGATAGAGTGACGCCTAGGTATTTAACTTCCGACTTGGTTTCAATCTCAGTGCCATCTATGTTGCACACCTCGTGAGTGTTAACCAGTTTGTTTAGGTCAGAGTTGTGCCTAAAGGTGAAATGAACTGTTTGGCATAAGATAAGGAAGATAAGATTACCAGTCAAATCTGAGGAGGATAATAAATAGTGTTAAAATGTATTCAATTCACATCATAACATTCTAACGAGTCACTTATTTCTACAATAAAAAACATCTTATTGACTAACGACACTCATCTTATTCCCCATCATGTTGTATTTTATTGATAACACCAATATCGGTTCTAAATGGACTTTATCTTCCTTTCCGTTTCACTCAAGTCTTACATTGATTTTATTCCAACGTCTAATCAATTTTACTCATGTATATAAATGAAGCAAGAAAGTTATGTGAGTACCTTGATATGATAATGAGCAATAATTTGTGCTCGAAGCGTCATCAATAAATATTACTTCATAAGACTGTGTGATTTTATCAAAATAAAATCCTGTCCATAATGGAGTTATACTCTACCACAGTGCCCAAGGTTTATCCTTATGTCAATGATCCTAGAGATTGTTTGCCTTTAAAATAGCTTCTTTTAGTGTTTCGAAAGGATTACTTACTTCTGGAAAGAATATTTGCGCGGTCACACACTTGCTGAATTCCTGTTGCAGAGCACGTGTAACTTCCAGGAGCTGTGGATATGGATCAGTTACACCATATTCATACAAGTCGGCGTGAATGTACAGAAAACGTGTTTCTTGATTGGGTAACCAGGAAGAAACATGCTGAGTGGGAATGCTAGTCGTTTGAATACGTATAAGTTTGGGTGTCTGATCACACGTCGTAAAAGTGGCTTATGTTGAAATGTAGCAAAGCTAACAAATGAACGGATACAAAGTGGAAAGAACTCACTGATGTATAGCGAAGATTGTTTACCTGTCCACAAGTTTGTGAGATGAAGTTCGTCAACGGGCTTACCAGTTTAGGAGATGAGGAATGTCGACGTATACTCAAGTCACGCTGTTTATAAACGCCAGCTTCTATCCTGTCGCTCCCAAAATCCTCGTTCTGCTCAGACGCAAAGACAAAACAAATTGGTCGTCCAAAGTGCGATATATATTTTACAATTAGAAACGTTGTGTGGTGATTAGCGCTTGACTGCGTACACTCAGCATTTTATGTTGACGAGCATCCCGTGGTTGAGCGAAGAATACTCTAGACTATTAATTTTGTGAAATCACTGACAGCAACGTACTGTCATTTACCCTAATGCCTTTCTATGATCTTGAATAATTGCTTTTCGGGGGAATACTTCTGTGGTGGTGTGACAGGGACAATCGGTTCTAACGGAATAATATTCTCACATATTTTCACAGTTCAGTGCTGCGTTAGCGACAGAATACTTTGTGTATTTGAACATTCTATTTCATGTCGTTCAATGTAAGCCAATATATATATATATATATAAAACTAATATTATACATCCAGATATTAACGACACTGAAACATATTGGAACTCGTAGAAAATGCACATCAGTAAACGTGGATTATTATGGACAAACCTCCCTGCTACCATGTCAAACGTGGCGATTTTTGACAAGCTTTTCCTCATTTTTTCTTCACTATTTAGCCTCGGGTGTGGTAAAACCCCTGATTTTACTTCCTGTCACTGATTTCAGCTTCAGTAGGTTACTTGGATTTATGTTTCATTGCTTTCACAACCGAGAATTGAAAATTACTAATGCATAGGACCCACAGATTTCCTCTCCTTCAGTAGTCCCCTTTTCAGTGTGGCATCTCTGTTAAAGACAAACAACATACTTAAAGTGTTCACTGGAGATCTGCAAACAGAATTCTCGGAACAAGTCTCAGGTACATTTACAGTGACAAAACAGTAAAACTGTTGCTCTACAGGTGATCTGTTTCTGCGTGAATCATCTTTCCATATCCTTTTGGAAACTAGCCGCGTTCCTCATAATATCCACATGTCTATACTTAACAAGGATTGTATTCTGCCCCCTGGAACATATATAGTATTTACTTGTGAAATCTACAACCCGGAATCTTCTGATGCTCTTTCTAACAACCTGGGACTAAGGATTTTATCCTCAGGAAGTACTATTAAAAGAAAATCTGATATTTTTATTTTTCAATATAGGACTATTTATCCATAATACAACAATCTTTTTCATATACTCAAGACTTTTTCTCGGAAATTGTGAAAGTTCTTGTCTCTGTAATGGTTAAGCCTGTCAAACGTGTAGGTGCCGTTAACAGAATGAAATCTTACACTCGTCAACCGTCCGACGGCTTCAACTCGGTCGACGATTCTACACTTTTGACACCAGACACACCCAAAGTTATGGTATCTGATATCATGGAGGAACTGATAGCTAATGCTGCTAGTAGCGAAAATGATTTACTGACACTTCAGAAATCAATAGCAGACCTACAGAGCAAGTTTGACAGCATTATGTCCCTCACGCAGCTGTGTGACCAGTTAAATAACAGCTGTCTAAAATCACTTATCAAATCCGAGCGCATAAATCATCATTTGGCCGAAGAAGCTGTTTAGCCGATTGCCTTCATTTAATTGAATTTGAGATTTTCCCGTCGATTGATTGGACCGAAGTGCTCGGTCTCAGGTTGACATGTCGGCTTCTTGTGCAGGTGCTTCGACGATGTCTGGGCATTTAGTTAGTATTTAATTGGTGGATGGTGACTAGCAGTGGAATCCAGGATGCGCATTTCATCCTATTTGGGACTCGTCGGCTGGATGTACCTGCATTTCTCAGTGAGTGATAATGTTCCCACCGAGGCTCGAACCCAGTGCCCATATGTTTTCATATAACGTGTTGGCCTATATATCATGATATAAAATGCAAAATAGCTCCAATTGTTTCAGTGTATTTTACGTAAATGATTAGGAGAGAGTTAAATATCTAGGTAATTATGATTTCATTATGTTTACAAAATTTCACAGTAATAAAGGAAACTGAGTTGGTAATTTCGTCAGATAACGGTGAATAAACAGTCATTTAACTGGTAGGTACTGTCTTTCAAGTTATTTATTTCGCCCATCATATGCTGACTGAATTTTTGTCATTTTTAATTCTCAGGTTATGGTCTTCAATTCCGCAATCACTCAATACATTTAGACATTCCAGTGGTGTTAAAAAGGATAATATTTGTGTGATTGATGGAATATTTGTGATATTATGAATGTATTTGTCGAAATAAATATTGTTTTTAAAAATTTTGCACCTTATTCGTACACTAATGATACTTACTCTTTGTCAAGTTGCAAAGTGATGCCAGTGTAGAAGACATAATATTGGTAAAGTGCCATATTTACACCTGGTTGAATTTAGACACGATGGGGGTACTATTATCGCTTTCGCTAGTAAACCTTAAACAGGCGATATGCACAACAAAAGCCTATTTAATGCGTTACAGTATTTCATGATAACAAAGTAATCAATCAAATTTAGTGACGTAATTAGCTAATGCACGAGTCTGGGTGTTAATGTGATCATGTAAGAGCCTATTGATACGCAATGATAGCACAAGAAGAGTAATGTAGTTATCTCTTTATTACGCAATGATTTCCTTTGAGGTAGTGGTGTTGAACGCAACATAAGAATAGCAGACTATTTGTGATAAATAGGATATACGTTGCATGGTCAGCATGAAGTGCCTAGACTATCACTACAAGTCATGTACGTATAGGACCTATATTTGCTAGGTTATGTTTCGTTATAACACATGTTTGACGGCTACTTTCTTAACAATCGCGAATACCAATATTATACGCAACTGAAACACTTTACACAAGGCTTGATGATGCATTGAGGAAATAGTAAAATTTTAAGACTGACGCATTTCACATAAGTTTTAATACGTTGCCTACCATATTCTCGTTAACTCTGCAATGTCCTCAAAATGATGAGTGAAAGAGACAAAGTTAGTCGACATAAATGCATAAATTTGTAAGGAAAAAATAATCCATCAAGTTAAAAACGGATTAGAATGAAAAAGTACATATTGTTTTACTGACGTTTCGCTATTTAATGCTGCTAACAGCTTTATCAAAGTATTACTAAACCAGACTTTACAAAATTTCAGCTTATATATCACAACTTAATCGTCGTTCCTCAGCAAGGCGGCATTTTCGCCTTGTCAAGTTGGCCAATTGGTAAATAAAGAAAAGAAAGCCAGGTGTACATTGTTGGATTTGATAAATGTGTAAAATTATAAAAGCTACGTGTGTTTACATAGTGAAATTGTTTATCACATTGGTGTTGATTTTGTCATTTGATATGAAGTCCTTCTGATGAAATGGGAAACGATATCAAGACTTGCGATAATGGAGACAGCAGCATATAATGAATGAGTTAATATAATAGCTTACCATAATCATCTGCAAACACGTGTAGTAGGAATGATTCAACACCTGTTCCAGGCATCTGGAAAATTCCATCACCCTTAGGACAATTACGAGAGAACAAAGAAAACTATGAAACTCAAGTTTCATAATTGAAGAAATGTTTATGACCAAATAAATTTTGATTGTTTGTACATTTGTTTTAATGCGTCGATGAAATTGCGGGTTGCAGTCACAGATTATTCAAGTAAGCACTCACGTGTTGGTCAGAGTTTCGTGACTTAGATGTAAGTGCAGGCCAGATATCGCTACCTGAAGCTGTTAACCGATGTTATGTTCTACATCCAATTTTACTGTTCAGTTAAGTAACCTAGATATTAAATGCATTACTATAATTTTGCTTTTTATTTGTTTATTTTGTCCTATTTTTAATTCCGTTTTACAGATGGATCCTCAATTCGCTTCTAACAAGCGTATCCGAAAGCACTCATTCGTGCGAAAAGAGGTTTTGTTTCTGGGAGACAGCAGACAAGAGTCAAGTGTTGAGAAGAAAACCTCACTCCGGCCAGATAGACGTGACAAGGTAGTGCCACATAAGGGGCATCCTGTCCAACAAGGCTCAGGAAGTTCTGGCGCCAAAGTCCAAACGGATCCGCCTGTAAGTCCCCACATCTCGTGGCTAGCAGAAATCTCGTAATTAGGAATGAACATGAAGACATTAGAATCATCTGAATAATGCGAATAGAGGAAATGGTGTAGGGAAGGAGGCGTTGGATTTATTTCATCGACATCTAGTCTACTCCCTGATGAAAGTGAATTCTTGAATAACTATTCTAGCATAGATCATTGACGAAACAGTTGTCGGACAATAATCAAGAGTAATTATGCTGGGTAGATAAATTAGCTGGTAGCGACAGAGTATCGCCACTTGTGTATCAAGCCCGTCTGACGTATGACACCCTATGTTACTGAATGTGACTTAAATCCATCACCGTTTTGTTTTGCATCCAATTTTACCGTCTAGTTGAGTCACCTAGTTATTGAATGCATTACCATAATTTTGCTTTTTATTTGTTTATTTTGTCCTATTTTTAATTCCGTTTTACAGATGGATCCTCAATTCGCTTCTAACAAGCGTATCCGAAAGCACTCATTCGTGCGAAAAGAGGTTTTTTTTTGGGAGAAAGTAAAACAGCGTCCATTTGTGAGGAGAAAAATACCAGAGCACCATCAAGTAGTCATAAGATTGGAAAATGTTAATCCAGTTAGGATGACTGTTGTCTGTCGATTTCGCCGTTGTATGTACTAAGGTGAATCCGATACCTGTGAATGTGGTGATCAACCCGGATTATTTGTCGCTTATGAAAGGAAAGAGGTATGTGCATTATTCTGAATTAGGTCATGGAAGCTGTAAGTCCCCACATCCTGTGGCTAACAGGAATCTTGTAATTAAGAATGGACAATAAGTAATCTGGGCGTCGGTGGCACAGTGGTTAATACTTTCACCGACCATGCACACGGTCCGAGGTTGGAACCCCTGCCGACGCACATCTGATATCTATGGTCGGCCTTCGAAATTTGGGCTACCGATATCCATCCTGAATATTCCATACTTGTACCGAAAATACGGTGTGGAATCAAGCTGTAAATCAAAAATTAAAAAAAATAAGATTAAGTGATACATTTAATTGATATGATTGTATTATTATTGGTTTTTATCTAAGTCAATGATGAATTCGTTGCGATAATAATACCTATTATGAGCATAAACGGTATTATTATTGTTCTCGCTGTCAAGACTTATTATTTGTCATAAAGCCATTGTCGTTTTCTATTAAAATCTTGGTACAGGCTTTGGGAAGAACTGCATAACTTGTCGTTAAATAATTTTATTATTTCATGTGATGGTTCGATGAACCTGCTAGATATCGACCAATGATAAATTGCAAAGTCCCTTAAGTTTAGTGAAAAGTATTTAGCAACTTATATATATTGTTTGTAATGTGATTACTTATAAATGCTTATCAATAAAAATTTTTTTATTCAGGTCATACATGTACTACCCAAGTTAATAATGCTTTTCTTGAACCTTTTCAGGCTTATGGAGAAACATATATGTGCTGTGTACGCAGTTGGGACCTACTGAGAGTAACGGAGGACTACTCATCTGAGCTATCTGTACATCTAAAATCTAATTTTTGTTTAATAAACAATTTTTCAATGAATCTGTGTTCCTTCTGTTCTGACGCGATTGTGTTCCAGTGACATAAGTAACACGTGGTAAGTTAGGAATTGAGGGTAAACTGTTAGGAGTAAGTGCGGCGTCTGGGAAACTCTCTATCAGTCAGGTTTGCAATGTGGCCACCATTCTAGGAAGCTCGCCATCACTGTGCACATTGATTTGATGATATTCGATAGTTACCGAATGCTCATTATCTATGCATTGTTTAATGTAGTCAAAATAATCTAAGCGGAAAGTAATGCACGGTCTTCTACTTAGGAAACCGTATTGGGGGGGGGATAGTAGGACATTAGAGAGTAAATACTAAATGATTCGAGTCTTTACTATCTTTTCCATTACACGTGAAACTACAGACGTGATGTTGATAGGGCGGTGGTTGTCGATATCAGCTATAGGCCTGTATTTATGAATAGGTACAATATAAGACTTCTTCCAGCAAGTAGGCTATGTCCTATGGCTTAATGAAATTGAGTAGGAGTTAAGTTGAAGACAATATCACCGTTTTTCAATAGAATGGAAGATATACTGTCTGCACCAGGAGTGTTAGTAAGCTTAAGATTTGCGATAGCTTTATCGATCTCTTGTGTGGTGAAAAGTATCTCACTCAGACATTCGTCTGTTTTACGTGTGAAATCCACGACCTGGTCGTTCTCCATGGTGTATAGTCTGGCGAAGTGCTCGCTAATAAGTTCACATATCACCTCAGTATTCTCATAAGCAATACCGTCCAAGTATATTAATTTTAGATAGGCTGTTTTGGAGTTTGTTAGCCTACTTTTGAAAAGTCTGGCTAAGTCTCCTGGGTTATGCGGTGGCTGAATGGCCCACATTTCTTTGTTTCTGAGGCTTATATTTTTCAACTCTTGGATTCTGGTGACAACGTACGTAATAGCAATTAATGATGATAAATCATGACATCCGTAGCATTTTATTGAGTGCTTGACTTCTCCTTCACGATGTCGGAATATAATCGCTTTGGGGAATTTGAAGCTAAGAATCTCCTCAGGTGCAATGACATCATGAATTGATTTAATATTGGGATAAAAATTGTTAAGAACTGCGTCTAAGGACTCGTTCGAAAAGTACGAGTGCCAATTAGAGTATCTAAGTGGGTGCTGATACAAGTCTTAGTCGGCATGTGTGTATTATTTCATAGGTGTCTGGTCGGCTTGATCTCTGAGTATTGTTTCAGGGAAGGTGTTAAAACAACACACGAATATTTTACGGTCACTGCCTGGAAATTCATCTCCTATACGTACTGTAGATGGTGTTATGTTGTTTGTGAAAATAAGGTCTAGGGTATTTGCGGATCTAGTGGGTGAATTTATGTGTTGTATCCACCCTCCTGTGGCGATGGAATTCAGGAGATTATTATACATTTTGGGTCCTCGGAGTGAATGCCATGATACTTCTGGCATGTTGAAATCACCTCCGATAATTTTATAACTGAAGAGAAGATTGCCTGTAACATTAAACATGTTTCTGAGCATATTATCATACTCCCAGTTGGATGAAGGGGGTCATTACACACAACCCATAAGTATAGGTTTACTTCGACCCAGATCGATTCATTGAGTTGTGACAGAATTGGGTTACTGAGCTGGGTTTCACACATGAATTGTTCACAGTAAATTAGTGTTCCACCCCCATGGCCTGTCTCTCTGTCCCCTCGAAAAATATTGTAGTTAACAATTCTTAGGCTGTCATTAGGGATTTCACTTGTGTACCAGGCTTCAGTGATTATAATCAATGACAGTCTGCACATAGAAGCTAATGTAACACTGGCTACATGATTTTAGTGAGCGGAGAACATCTTGATAAAATATTCCGTGACTATCCTCTGTATACATGCATTTTAGAATCACTAACGACTACCTTTGGATCATAGGAAGATTTCAGGCAGGTTCGTAAGGTGGTAGTCAGGGGTGGTCTGTCGGTTGAATAGGGTATGCAATGAGACACATGTGTGAAAATTAGAGATATCGGTATCCGCGTTCGGTGCCGACAGTATCAACCGTCTCCTGGGAAATATACCTTTTCCTAGCAGTAGACTGTTCACAACACCGGCAAAGAATTAATCCGATAGCATGCGTGCTAAACGCATGATCCCAGATGTTTCCGTTGACTGACGCTGGTGAAAATTCTTCTCGAAGCGGCTACTAGGGGCAGTATAATTTTGAAAGTAATAGTCGATATAAGTATTCGGTAAATTGTTGCCAGAATAGGAATGAAGACTTGGTATCTGGTTGGGGTTGTTATCAGACCATAGCAGGTTTTGTGCAGACATCGGCACATGCTCCCTACTAAATACATAAGATGTATAAATGGGTTCTATGGGCATATTTGGCTGACTGAATGTTGTCTGTAGCCGATGTTTAGGAGATTTTCTATAACATTCAAAGGGGGCTGGTTAACAATGGGTTTGCTTAGTGGATGAGCAGAATAATACCGATTATCTCGCTGTGTTGTTTGTACAGAAGTAGTGGTTGGATGTAATTAGGTTTTCCATATTAGTTTGTTTATTAAATATATCACACAGTGAAACAGCAGTATTTACTGGAAGGCAGGAACAAAAATGACCGGCATTCAAACCAACCACAAACTCAATTAGAAACATGTTTTGTCGGTTAAAAGATCCTGTGGAGGCCTTAAAACAAAACAATTTAGTTTGTCTAATACCCTGTCTCCAATGATTGTCAGGTCAAATACATACGTGAAAGTGGTAGAACAGGTGCAGTCAGACTAGCCGAGCATAAAAACCTATCAAAATCTAGATTGGTTGACCCGAATAAGATAAGAAATCTAGAGAATAGTTCAGGCGTAGATAGCACTACATGCAGTTACACACAACCACACAATAGGATGAATGAGATAAGATGACAGCTTTAAAATCTAATGTGACAGAGTGGAGGGAGAGATTGATAACGGAAGCATGGTTTATCGAATCGACTACAAAGACGTGTAATAGGGGTGATTCCACACCTGTTCCAGACATCTGGGAAATTCTACCACCCTTACGACAAATAGGAGAGGAGGACAAAGGAAACTATAAAACTCAAGTTTCGAAGTCGTGTGATATTTTTATTCCTTCACGTTCCCAGTGGAATACAGGGCTCCAAGCTAGAAGCTCGAAATTCCTCGAGCAGTGTTTGTTTTTGCAAGATGGGGTTGCTAGCCTCATGCCCAACCTCCCTCTTTGCCAGTTCTATTACTGGCTCTGTGAGGTAAAGGAGTGCGTCGTCCGGGGATGGAATCCCGCACCATGCGCATGGTTGGCGTGTGTCCTAGGCGCTATGCCACCGATGTCGTGTGATTATAATTGATGAAATGATTACAACCAAATAAGTTTTGTTTGAAACGTCATCCAGTATATAATACTGTTTCACTGTGTGATATATTGTCTAATAAACAAACTAATATGGAATTCCATACTACCACGGTGCCCAAGTTGTACACATATATTAATTGGTTTTTCAATTGAGGCCAATTAGGCCTATCTCTAGGAGCTTGGTCTATCATAATTAACTTTCTCTTAGTAAGATGGCTTAAGGATGCTTGCGTCTCTGTCATAGCAATCGGCTTTCGTGCTCCGGGTTCGGAATTTAATTTAGTTCCTTCAGTCTCCTCTTTCTTATGTTTAACTGGCTGATGGTGTCTGACAGGGCAGCCAGCACATGTTATATATAGTCTCCATTGCTTAGACACCTCCGGTGCTTTAGTTTTCATAATGGAAATGGAACGTTTGTCATAGCGCCTAGGGAACTTGCTGACTTGCGTGGCCACATTCGACTGGTACTTCACAGTGGATGAATAGTCAGACTGAGGAGTAACTGACTTATAGGGAGATGGGTAGAACACCAGTGGGATGGGTTCTGATGTTTTATGGCTCTTGACGTTTGTGTCAGTGTGCAAACGATGTATTTCAACATTATGCTCTGTTGATTCATCTATGTTCACCATTTCAGTGTTAGCACCAGTGTCTTTATAAAATACTTGGCTAATATTTGTCAGTGCCTGAGAAAATGTCTGATGCATGCGGTCATCAGTTATATCACTAGACAGAATAATTCATGGAACATCATCTATAGCTGTCCTATTAGGGTTATCAGCGTTCAGTGTTCCTGAGCGGCATCGTCTTTGACATGGTGTTAAATCAGGTGCAACCCTAATATTAATGTAGGGTGTTAAGGAGCCTATTATCTTACCAGATTTCGGAAAATTCCTATCTTCAGTAGACCTGAACTTGAAAAGCACCAAACATGATTGGTTTACAGATTTCTTACTAAGACGCAAAACCTGAAAGTCTGTTAACGACGTATAACAAACCTTTAGACATGAAGTTTTAAGTTTGACAACGGGCTCTCTGTCTGGAATGTTATAGGCCAACACGTTATATGAAAACATATGGGCACTGGGTTCGAGCCTCGGTGGGAACATTATCACTCACTGAGAAATGCAGGTACATCCAGCCGACGAGTCCCAAATAGGATGAAATGCGCATCCTGGATTCCACTGCTAGTCACCATCCACCAATTAAATACTAACTAAATGCCCAGACATCGTCGAAGCACCTGCACAAGAAGCCGACATGTCAACCTGAGACCGAGCACTTCGGTCCAATCAATCGACGGGAAAATCTCAAATTCAATTAAATGAAGGCAATCGGCTAAACAGCTTCTTCGGCCAAATGATGATTTATGCGCTCGGATTTGACAAGTGATTTTAGACAGCTGTTATTTAACTGGTCACACAGCTGCGTGAGGGACATAATGCTGTCAAACTTGCTCTGTAGGTCTGCTATTGATTTCTGAAGTGTCAGTAAATCATTTTCGCTACTAGCAGCATTAGCTATCAGTTCCTCCATGATATCAGATACCATAACTTTGGGTGTGTCTGGTGTCAAAAGTGTAGAATCGTCGACCGAGTTGAAGCCGTCGGACGGTTGACGAGTGTAAGATTTCATTCTGTTAACGGCACCTAC